GGCCCCGATTCTCCAGAAGCTCAGAAAGACAGACAGAAGAAGCTAGAATGTGTCCTGATAGTATATCTACTGAGAAAAGTAACTTTTAGAAGAATACTGCTTCTCTAATAAAGTTACTTATTTTTAGTATTTGTAGAAAGTGACTGAAGCTCTATTACTGTTGCAACAGTCAAAGCAGTGCCTACCATTGGGACCATGGCAATGCCTCAACATAAACACAGAAATGGAGGAAAAAAACGAGAACAAAAATAAACCATCCTAGATCTGTTTAGTTAGAAACATGGTTCCTTCACTATTATCATCAGAAACAAGAAATCTATAATTGCAGATATTTCAGATTACTTTATTCCAATTTAAACAAGAGGCACCTTACAATGTTTTTTTTTAAATGCTAAAACCAAGCCTATCCTAATTCTTCGAAGCAGCCAGTTGCTGAATTTTAAAGTTAATAGCTAATAAGATAGTTATCATCATCATATAACAGGCATTTTGTGTGCCACCATAAACCTACTTAGGTTAGTGACTACCAAGTAGAATCTCTGTTTTCTCACAGGAGGCCTTCAGCAGCTATGATGAACGTAGATCGGGTGCCTGGTATGACAGTCAGTATCTGGTGAATATACATGCTAGTAAGACGCACCACAATCAGAGGCAACCAAAACTTCATGTTAATTGACTTCTAAAACAAATACAGTCAAATACATCAGGCCTACTTGCTTCTCACTGAAATACCAAAGACTTGCTTCTTCTACAACACTCACATATACAGTCAATCCTAATTATCATTTTAAAATTTAAATAGTTGAACCATCAAGATGTACACATACTTGTACTGACTCATCATGTAGCTGTGGGGCGACAGCTCATCTTTCTTCAGCCTACTCTCTCCCAAAGTTACTTCACGTCTAATATGTCCGAATATAACCTTTTAAGTACAGACACCCATAACAAGTAACTACCACACCTGTGGGCACTATTTTAAAAATACATAATATACTAGTTTTCATGGAACACTAAATCCATAACAAATGTTCACATTTCTCGTAGAATACTAGGACTAGAAGGGACCTCAAGAGGTCATCGAGTCCAGTCCCCTGCCCTCATGGCAGGACCCAATACTGTCTAGACCATCCCTGATAGACATTTATCTAACCTGCTCTTAAATATCTCCAGAGATGGGGATTCCACAACCTCCCTGGGCAGTTTATTCCAGTGTTTGACCACCCTGACAGGTAGGAACTTTTTCCTAATGTCCAACCTAAACCTCCCTTGCTGCAGTTTAAGCCCATTGCTTCTTGTTCTATCCTCAGAGGCCAAGATGAACAATTTTTCTCCCTCCTCCTTATGACACCCTTTTAGATACCTGAAAACGGCTATCGTGTCCCCCCTCAATCTTCTCTTTTCTACACTAAACAAACCCAATTCTTTCAGCCTTCCTTCACAGGTCATGTTCTCTAGACCTTTCATCATTCTTGTTGCTCTTCTCTGGACCCTCTCCAATTTCTCCATATCTTTCTTGAAATGTGGTGCCCAGAACTGGACACAAGACTCCAACTGAGGCCTGACCAGCGCAGAGTAGAGAGGAAGAATGACTTCTTGTGTCTTGCTCACAACACACCTGTTAATGCATCCCAGAATTGTTTGCTTCTTTTGCAACAGCATCACACTGCTGACTCATCTTCAGCTTGTGGTCCTCTATAACCCCTAGATTCCTTTCTGCCATACTCCTTCCTAGATAGTTGCTTCCCATTCTGTATGTGTGAAACTGATTGTTCCTTCCTAAGTAGAGCACTTTGCATTTGTCTTTATTAAATTTAATCCCGTTTACCTCAGACCATTTCTCCAATTTGTCCAGATCATTTTGAATTAGGACCCATCTTCCAGATTAGTCGCAACCCCTCTCAGCTTGGTGGTATCTGCAAACTTAATAAGTGCACTTTCTATGCCAATATCTAAATCGTTGTTGAAGATATTGAACACAGCTGGTCCCAAAACAGACCCTTGCAGAACCCCACTTGTTATATCTTTCCAGCAGGATTGTGAACCATTAATAACTACTGTCCGAGTACGGTTATCCAGCCAGTTATGCACCCACCTTTTAGTAGCCCCATCTAAGTTGTATTTGCCTAGTTTATTGATAAGAATATCATGCGAGACCGTATCAAACGCCTTACTAAAGTCTAGGTATACCACATCTACTGCTTCTCCCTTATCCACAAGACTCGTTATCCTATCAAAGAAAGCTATCAGATTGATTTGACAGGATTTGTTCTTCACACAGACAAAAGACACATTTAAAAGCAAACAGTTTGAATTGAGCAATATGTATTTTACTTCAAATCTCCGTATCACCAGCGCAGAACACAAAGCTAGGACTGGTGGCTGTAAACAACTTTATGGGACTGTGGGAAACTTGACCATGCCCATTATAAGGGGACATCTGGCTAATTCAAATCATTTCAGACCACAGATGTTGCCAAACCAGAGTATTTGGGGCAAGAAAAGTTCAACCTGTACCTACACTGGTGCTTAGGTCCTTAGGTGAGTGTAATTTGTGTCACACTGAGTGTGGATTAATCACATCCCTGAGCAATGTAAATTATACCAAAGTAAATGGTAGTGTAGACAAGCCCAGAGTGTCACAACAAAATACAAGGTTTGACGTAAGTAGTTAGCTGGGCAGTTTCAGCCCAAGCAGTACCACTCAGCCCTGGTGCTCTGGGGGGTGCTGAGAACAGGTAGGCAGGGATAGGAGGGGTGGAGTCAGTGAGGGGGAAGAGACGGAGCCAGTACTCCCCTTCTCCTGTCCGAGTACCTTTTTCAGAACTGAAGGGCTGTGTAACTTGAAATTAACTCCTCACAACAGATTTTGATCCAATAAAACCTCTCACACACCCTCCCTCTCATATCCTGGGACCAATACAGCTACAACTCTCCTAGATATCAAATTGTAATTCAGTCTCAGATCATATTAAAGCAGGATCTGGTGTTTCAATTACTAGCCCCCCCCCCAAAAAAAGTGTAAGGTTTAAACTAAAGTTAACCAATTCATATGAAATTTTCAACAACAGAGTTCTCTTCATTACAGCATGACATTCAAGTCACACAAACAGCACTTAAGTAAGCAATAATAAAACTACTGTAAATATTTAAAAACTAATCTTTCCACCCAATAGACATCTACACTCGTGGTCTCCGATCTAAAACTCAGTCGTACTAATAAATACAGTTACCAGTCCCGAACGATAATTTGCTGGACCAGGGGAAGTTCCCTACCTAGCTTCCCAGCCCTCTGATCCTTCTTGCTGCCAGCTTCTTCTGGCCCAGGCACCAGCCCCGCTGTCCCTCCCTCCCCCGCATGCCATGGGGCTCTCTGGTTCAGGAATGTCCGTGGTCCAAAAGGATCACAGATGTTGTCAAACCCGAGAATCCCCATTTAGGGAGGCACAGCCTGATGTGCATAGATGCAACACTCACACTATAGAAACTCCTGTATATTTGTAAATATAGCTTATTTATACATTTAGCACAAATACCCTAATGCCATAAGATAAACAGGGAATGTACATCTGTATTTCCATACCATGTACTCGCACCGTTCCTTCTAGAACAATCCAGAGTGTTAGCCGTCATCTTCTGTATCACTTGTACCACCCCCATCAACAGGGGCTTCATCTGGCACCTCCTAAGGACTGTATCTCCTACCGCCCGTTGGCTAGGATGCCTCTTAGCATATGTTATGCTGACATTATGTCTGATGAATATTAAGTAGGGGATGTTTCCTTTTCTCCTTATTTGTATTCCTCCCCTTACTAATGGTGAAGTGTCTTTTCCCAATAGGTCAGTATATCATTGATCTCAACTTATATGTTAATTTGTTACCATGGGACTTTTATCACATTTATTATTTCTGTCCCACCCAGTTATTTGGTCTGGTCTTGACTGGTTTTTTGTTTTTCTAAGTAATGATGTACCTGCTAAGTTTGAGGTTATTCTTGGAAACCCCAATACCATGGAAAGTTACTCTCTTATCGCCTAGGGAAAGGTCCTGAACATATGTGAGCTCTCTCAGTGAAAGGTCTCAGACAACATAGCTCAACATACAGGACATGGCCTGTAACAGCATGTCTACACTAGAAAATTATTTCAAAATAACTTGTCTACACTACAGGGAAGCCTCAAAATTAAACTGAGGAAGGCTCCCTTAATGCAGATGCACTACCTCGACTTAGAGCCCCAGGAAGCACTGGGGAGTAATTACTTTGAATACTCTGGAGAGTGATTATTTCGAAATAATTCCCTAGTGTAGTCCAGGGCTAAGTCTCTTATGTCACAACCAAACTGCCAATATAAACCTACCGTGATTTATTATAACAGCATATAATCAAAACCATAAGGAAATAATAAACTTATATCTACAGGCAAGCAAGCAGGTTATCCCTATAGGCTACAGATATGCAGTGACTACAATAACTGTCTAGAGCTAGCAGAACGATTGTAGAATCTTCACCCTACCAAAACAAGTCTCCAACATAGAGGCTTCCATCAGGGAATAGTGAGTGGTAACAGTATGCACTGAAGCCCACGTTGATGCGCTACCCCTCTCTGATAGTAGGGGGATATTACGCAAGCTGCTCACCAATGCTGCTCAAGCCCCGAGTGAGCTGTAATCTGTCCAGATAGATCTTAGCTAAACCTTGTCATAAGACAACCAGGGACCTGCTTCGACAACCAGTAACACAGGTTGCTCCTTAGCCCATTCTGCAATTACTATACAGAGTCCTAGCTGTACACCTGAATGGCATGGTCATATCTAAATGCAATGACAACAATCAGGATATCCAAGATGTGAAGTCTCATTTTAACTGGAGTGGAATGCAATTTAGGGAAGGTGAAAACACTAATTCAGATATTGGAAACCCTCTTATGCAGAAAGTTAATGGTGAGGTAGGAGAGTGAGTGTTCTTGTGAAAAGTGTCAGAGGAGAGACTCACCATAAAGATCTGAATCTCTCCTATTCCCCTAGCCGATGTAAGGCTGTCTTCCTCAACATGTACTAGAGCAGCGTTTCCCAAACTGTGGTCCGTGGCCCAGTACTGGTCCTTAGGAAAAAAATACTGGGACTCAACATTTTTTGCGAGAGCCTGCCTTGCTGCCCACAACCCCCAGATGAATGCCGTGCTGAACTCCCAGTGTCAAAAGAGGCAGTGTGGGCTTCCTGTAGGGTTGGGGGGAGAGGGGGTACTTCTGCAGCTGTGCACCAGTCCCGGAAGTGCACGGGCTGCTCTCCCCCTGCCCCAATAGCCGGCGCAGTACCTAAAACACCGGTCCATCACACACTAGGGATTTTGTTCCCTTGCTGCCTTCCTGCACGCGGGGGAGTACAGCTGAAACAGGGGCTACTACCAAGCAAGAGCTGATACCATATTCCATAGACAGAAACCCTCTTCCATCTGGCTCTGTCAGTCTGGCCAGTGGTTTCCTGTTTGGGAGCAAGATAGCCTGAAGTGCACAGAGTAGATCCTTTCTGTAGACATCAGCCTGTCAGCATCCAGGCTGCCAGATACAGGATCCACCCTTGGTTCTGTAAGACCAGATCTGATGAATCTTTGTGAAAGGTTCACGAGAATTGAGTACCAGAGCTGTTTGGATTTTGCTGGAATTACAATAACCCAACCCACCTCAAATTCCTCAAAACCCAAGGCATCATGGGGCTTAATGGAAAGGCACATGTCACATCAAGAACTCAACAGAGGAGAGACACAGCACAGAAGAGGGACCCCAGGCTTCTACTTCCCGTGCAGCAGAACCTCTGGTACTTATGGTGACAGGCTGCAAACGGTGGTAGACTTTAAAAAACTGACCAACCAGTCCATGCTTTGCTGTTTGAGGTTGATGTATCCTCCATTCTTAACCACCCTTTCAAAGACTGCAGATGTCTGGCATGCTGCATGTGACACACACTCATTCAAACCTGTATGCCAGAAATCGAAGGTGGAGATTACAGTGGCAAGGGTCACCCTATGGAATTTGAATCCAAGGCCAAAGGTGCTGAGACGGTGAAGACTGAGGTTTAAGAAAGTTAAAACTAACTCTTTGAGGGCTTCAGGGATTAAGACCAGGACAGTGAATTAGATTCAACAGAGCCAATTAAGTACTATAGTAAGGTACTCTGTTTCCTCTACCAGGAGAAATAAATGACTGCTACCATTTTGTGCAAGATGCATCTGATGAAGTGGGTCTTTGCCCACGAAAGCTTATGCTCCAATACATCTGTTAGTCTATAAAATGCCACAGGACTCCTTGTCGCTTTTTCAAATTCAGACTAACACGACTACCCCTCTGATGCAAGTGTAGATTAATCCTCAGAGATATAGTGACAATTACTGGAGGAGACAGGATACTGTGAGGTCATAGCTAGACTCTTATCTATGCATTGCTTCCTGAACATCCATATATATTGGGGTTTTCTACTGGCACAGTGGGAGTGTCAACAAGGAACTGGGGACAGTAGCAGGACTCAGATGATATGGTACTTTGTGATGCGAACAGAAAGTTTCAAATTTGCTTTCATTTTAGAGAGGCAGAGGTAAGAGCAACTGACTACGGCCTTCTATACTGGAGAAAATCATGCTCATTTTTAACAAAACAAGAGCTAAGCAGACCAAAGTAAGTCAAGGTGTATTTACTCATTTCTGTAGTTTCAGTTCTAGAATTAAGAACATATGATCTCATTGCAGACATGGCACAACCAATCCAGCAACTGACCAGAAATAATCAACAGCAGGAGAGGGAAAGTATCCCATTTACACTGATACACCGCAAAGAAAAGGTAATGCTTCTCCTGTCTGGTATTTATAATGATTACAGTTTGATAATTTAATTTTGTAAGTGTTGCAAGACCGATAACTGAAAACATGAGGCAGCAAGGCTCGCCCTATGTCCACCAGTCCATAGTTGAAGAAAGGAAGAACAATGCACACAAATGACAAGTCAGCATGCCTGAATGAAAGTTAGGAGATCCAAAACCACTTTTGGGAAGTGCACATACTATGCACATACTCATCAGTAACTGTGTACTTACAGGGTTTTTGAGGACATTTCCCTTTATTTGCAAAACAAGATTTCAAACCCCAAATTAAAATCCAAAATGTGTCTTGCCAGGTATACAAGAGATGTTATTTTTCAAATATAATTTTTAAAAATAAAATCAGTGTTTTCCCAAGCAACTAAGTTTAAGTCCAAATTAGACAAAGGTGAGAGAGTATGAGATTTGTATGAACATTGCATAACTACCACAAGTTTAATGCAAGCTAAGTACTTTAGCTTCAAAAGCGACTGCCATTGAGTCTGCTTTTGATTTGTGAATCTGCCATCTCACACAACCCATTCTCACTCTGGTTCTACTCAGAGATGGTCAGTTACAGTCTGGCTCTCCTTGACAGATTTCAGGAATACACATGGAAATCTAATCTTTGTCTGTAAAATGTCTCCTAGATAGCACTTCCACTCCTCAGGATTATTTTAAATTAATTTCTCCTTTTCCACTTGCATGCTCAATGTGTCACTAAACTGGCCAGATCCATTGTTTCACCAGAACACAAAGGCTGTTAACATTCTGAGTTAAAAAAAAACAAAAACCAAAAAACCTCCATAGGTATTTAAAAGTGAAAAGGTGGAGATAAGCTGATCCATAGCTAATTCAATTAAGTTCACCTTGTTCACAAATAGCCATTACTAGTTATTGGAATTACAAACATTCCCTGCAAACACATTTCAGATTAAGAATTTTTCACCAATTGCAATCACAGTTGTAGCTGCTGTTTTACGAGTCATTACAAACAGCAGTGTGGTCAGGCAGAAAAGGTTAAGGTTGGAGGAGAATGAGCAGGAGAGTCTGTGCTCTGTAGAGCACTCTCTCACTCAGAGGCTGGAATCAAATTCCAGATTCTTGAGCCTTGCCATTCTTCTATCAGCAACTATGAAAACTATTGGCAAAGTATTCAACCCTCTAGTGAAAGTGCACATAGCAGTAGTACCGTATCCTCTATCAGCTACTTCTTTACCTCAAGCAGCAGAAGTCTTCACAGTGAATATAATGTTTCCACACCTCCGGATGAACCATGTTGGTGACAATACAATGCCACACACGCTTTTTTCCCCAGATTGCTTTTTTAAAAGCAATGTTGGTCCCAAGATACTAGAAAGAGAAGGTGGGCAAGGTAGTATCTTCAGACTAGGGGGGGTAATGTAGTCATACGGAGTTGCAAATGAAGCCCGGGATTTAAATTTCCCGGGCTTCATTTCCATGAAGCCGGCCGGCGCCATTTTTAAATGCTGGCTAGTTCGGACTCCATGCCGCGCGGCTACACGCGGCACGGACTAGCTAGTTCGGATTAGGCTTCCTATCTGAACTAGCTGTACGCCTCGTGGAACTAGGGGGGTAGTGTAGACATACCCATATTGAACCAACTTCTGTATGTGAGAGCCCTTGCCTAACTTTGGTCCTATAAAAGATATTACCTCACCTACTTTGTCTCTACACATACATAAAATTACAATAAAATAACATAAGTTTTCAAAGTCAAACACTAAGAAGATAGGAAATGCCACAGTTAAAGGTGCCCTCCCCATGCAACCTCAATTTGGTCTCATTATGCCTGTGCATTACCAGACAATCATGACCAGGGCTTGATGACCAGCGGCGAAAGCCCCTCGCCAGCCCCGCACTGCTCATGCACGTGCCACAAATGAATGGGGCACCCGGCTGAAATCTACTCACCACGGGAGTATATGAGAGAATGCTCATTAAACAAGGGTATATTTGAGCTAGCTACATAAAAGTCAACTAAATATTTAAGAATTGAAAAGCATTTTTAAATTGAACATCAAGGCATTGGAAATAATTACTAGTCATTTATATTTTCTCCTGACCTTATACCAGTTAGCTTATTTCCTTTCAAAACAGGAAAAGGAGCTGATTCTTTTCTTAAACACTGAAAAGTCCTTTATACCAAAGCTTAATGTCAAATTTAAATTGTCTGATTATTTTGGTTTGCAGTTTGGGGAAGTGCTTTATGAAAAACGCCAATATGGAAAAGCTAAATGGGCTTGTATTAAAATGCAAGAACAACAATATGAACAGAGCATATGTCTGGGATTTATGAAGATTATGAAATATATTTGTGAACAGAACTCTTCAGGTAACTAGAGATACTAGTTTTGAAATAGAACATCTTCTGCTATTTATGCTCCAGCCTCTCTCATCAATTCTAGTTTGGATTTGTACCAACCAGTTGCAAATGCACAGTCCTTCACAGTAGAAGCAGCAATTTGAGACAGCTTTTCTGTCCTGGAAATAAATAAAAAAAAAAAAACAGCCCCTAGTCCCCAAACTGAAGTGCCTCCTTGCATCAACATTTCAAAACCGTGTGTTTTATTGACAACTGATCGCCAGCTTTCGTTTCCCACCATGTCTTCTTGCTTCCACATTCCCATGGTCTGGAATTCTTGTACTTACAATAAAATCCCATTTAATTGGGATTAAAGGGGAGGTTGGAGTCCACTTCAGCCAGGCTGAAATAATTCCCTCCTCCCCACCCCACACCACTGGCCAGACTGGAGCAGCTTCTGTCTGTGGGGCACCCTGGCTCACTGCGGACAAAGGCTGCTCCAGCCTGGCCAGGGCAACTTACCAGTTAAACCTTCCTATTCCTAACTTGCACAGAGTACACTAGACAAATGAGTCGTTCTGAACAGCTGTATTTCTGAACAGCTGGAATACTACTGAAAAATTCTAAGAGTCAGTTTGCACAGCAAAAGACCAGACTATTACATCATATGTTTCTAATCTGATCCTTGATATAACACAGATTATTAAATTTCACCAAAGTATCTTCTTACTGAACCAAATACACTTTAGCCAAAAGAAGCTGTCAAGGCATCCAGTCTTGATTTGGAGATTTGTTCTAATGATTAGTCATCCTTTCTGTTAAAAGTTTGTCTAATTTCCAATACAAATTTCTCTGGTTTCAGCTTTCTTATATTAATTCCTGTACTTTTTTTGATACATTCCTGAGCCCTTTAGTACACAGGGTTTTCTCCCACCAAAATACACACAGACTAATCAAATCATCCCATTTTCCAACTTCCTTTCTAAAATGTGAACTCCAGAATCGAACAAAATATCTCAGTGCTCAGTCTCATCAATACCCATATACAGACGTAAAATCACCTCCCTACTTAGTCATTTTTTCCACTGTATCCTATTATGAACACATGTTGAATTCTGACCCCTAGATCTTTCAGTGTCACTGCTTTCCGGGATGCAGTCCCTCACTCAGTCTATATGGTCTGCATTACTAGACACATAATTTTGCATTTGGCTGCATTAAAATGCAAAATAAATTATCAGGAGAGAATGTGTGTTATACGCATACAAGTTTGTTAGATTAATAAACCTAAAAAGACAAGTGTTCAGAATTAGGCTCTCTGTGTTGTCTTCTCAGCACGGAGTTATTCCCATGCAACTCCATGTATGGAGGCTCCTTTTCTGCAATAAGAATGCTCCAATTCCAAATCCAAGTGGATTAAGTTAATTCATATAAAGGTACTCAGTCCAGAACAGCATCCACATATGGAGTTAATGAAGAATAATTAACCTGCTTTCAATTCACACCCTATAGCCGATTAACGTTCATGTATAGATAAGCCTATATTTGCTAAACCTCACTACATCTAGACACAGAAGAGCTCTCAGAACACTTAATTAATTCCGAGACACAGTGGAATGTTCATATCAACAGCTGTTTCCAGCCAACAGCACTAAACCCATCACTTTCAAGATCTACTGAATTCCATTCTGCTATCATTTCCCATTACAGGACTTTATTTTGAATGTTCTTAATCCATGCACAGACAAACTTTAAAACTTAATAAAGACAGAGTGCAAAAGTTTGCTTGGGTTCTCTAGAGTGATGCTTGTATATTATTCTTCAGGATTGTACCTGGGGATGACTATACCCATTGTGACAATAGTGCATACTAACGAATCTCATGCCGAGATCACACGTTCGGTGACAGTCGCATACTACCTACCTGAACTCCTGCAGGATCATCCACCTCAGCCTTATGATCCTGACATAATTATTGAAGAGTGGCCGCCTACTGTTGTTTATACTAGGTAAGCAACATATCAGTCCTGTGCTAATGAAGTCTCAGGTAGTACAAGTCTCTTCCTATGTATTTAAAACAGCGTTTAGTACTTGCCAAATCCTAATATATTGAAAATCAAAGCTTGTGTTATCTTCATTAACTATCCCTTGTTTCAGAACTCAAAGTGAAAGTCAATTTAGGAGACAACTATTAGGTTATGTAGCCTGACAGATTACAGAAGTATTTAACTTTTTGAAGTAAATTAGTTACAGTTCTACTTGTATTCTTTTTTTATAAAGAGAAACAGAATAATTAGTGAAACAGGGCACATCATACCTGACAATTGTAAATGTTGGGTTAAGTAAAATTTTAGCTATCACCACCATATAAGATACATACATTTAGAAGCATTATTGAATCACCACCATAGAACCCTGGGAAGGGAAAGAATCTTCCAGGTCTAGAGGGGACTCCAGGAATACAATAAAACAATAGAATATAATTAAAAATTGGTTGTTGCAGGAGCTTCAGAGGGGTCACCAATGAAGATTCAATAATGAGAGAAATAAACTTGTTGGCAGAACTTCTGGAGAGTCCGGAGCTATGTTTGCAGAATATATTCATTGTTGCAGGATACACCAATCCAGCTGCTGCAAATCGACACAATGAAATATGGTTCCTGCAAAGACCATAGCCTCCCACTTCTAAAGCCTAGCATTATCCAAATTCCGTTTGTACACAAATTTGTAAATGAATCGTGAGGCTAGCTGATACCTCTAAGTCTTTGTGATAATCCACACACAGTTTTAACCCTATTTTTCTAAACTATATATTAGTTTATCAAAATAGCATGACAATCAAATCCAATTTAATTATTGGGCCATTGGCATTAATATCTGAAATCATATTGACAATTTTGAAGTCCTGTACCCAGTTTATTAGATACTTAAGTTTTACAGTTTATCCATAATATTTCATTGAGATTTGTGAAACTTTTTAAATTGATTCATGTAATCTTTGTGAACGAGGTAAATTCAACTCTCAAAGGTATAGTTCGTAAGTTCAAATTATAGTGTTAAACACTAATTTGGTTTTAGATTTTTCAAATATTTACATTTTAAATATTTTTCCCAGTACAGTGTCTCTAAGATGCCCTAAACATTTAGCTTGAGATTTTTCAAAAGTGCTTATAATTGGCCTAACTCTGCTCCTGTAGAAGACAACACAGGTTGAACACCTCTAGTCCAGCACTCTCTGCTCTAGCATGATTTTAATTCCTCAAATGTCCATTTCTCATGGGCGTGACTAAGTTCCCCACAGTCCCATAAAGTTTGTTTACAGTCACCAGTCCTGGCTCTCAGTGTTCTGTAATAGCTCTAATTTACCCATAAATGTCTTCTAAGAGCCCAGTAAGCAGTGGAAGTTTTGGTAATGCTACTAGATGATATTGACCTCTCCTGGTTTGGCACCAGTCTGTTCCCAAGTATGCTGGCCTAGTGAGGTGTAATCAGTAATGGAAATTGGGAACAGAGTTTGGTCAAGTGCTTTGAAGAATACCGTCCTTGAGTACAAGTTTTCCCCACACTTCTCAAAAAGAAAGTATTTGTCACCTTTGAAATACTGGGACCAGGATGTGAACAGTCAATCACATTACACAGTCAATATTTTCTCTTTGGGCACGTCTAGACTACATCCCTCTGTCGGAAGAGGGATGTAAATGAGCCTGATTGAAAGTGCAAATGAAGCGCGGATTTAAATATCCCTTCATTCATTTGCATATTCATGTCTGATCGCTGTTTTGAAAAAGGGTATTTCGAAAGTGAAACCGCAGTCTAGACAGTATTTTTGGAAAAAAAATCCCTTTTTTTGAAAGAACCTGTAGTCCTGAAAAAATGAGTACTGGTTCTTTCGAAAAAGGGTTGTTTTTTTTCGAAAGAACCGCATATCTCTGTGGTTTTACTTTCAAAATACCCTTTTTCGAAACAGCGATCGGACGTGAATATGCAAATGAAGGACGGGATATTTAAATCCACACTTCATTTGCGCTTTCGATCAGGTTCATTTATATCCCTCTTTCGACAGAGGGATGTCGTCTAGACATAGCCTTAGTGAATAGTTCACTTTTTCCACAACTTCCTTAAACTTTGTAGCACACCCCCACAGAATCATAAAATTCTAAAATAGGAAGGGACCTTGAGAGGTCATCAAATCCAATCTCCTGCCTTTGCAGCAGGACCAAGCACCATCTAGATCAGAGCGACTCAGCACGCAGCTGGTGGGCCATTAGTTTGTGGCCCATGGTGCAGTTTGGATTTACACAGGGCTCAACACACGGGCAAAAGAAGTAGTCAATATAATGGCCCTGCTGATAGGAGTTTTAGTAGTTAAATATCTGAACTGTCATTGCTCATTAAAACTGCTGTCATATGGGTGGAAATCAGGTAAATATTAAGCCAGCAGACTGACTTAAATGGGGCCTGTGTTCAGTGTAGTCTTACCTTAATCTTCGTATTCATGCCTGTCAGTGTGAAAAGCTATTTGCATATATACTCGCATGTATATGCAACCACACTTAAGTTGTGGCCTTCGGCATGTGCTGTGAGTATTATTGTGGCCCCCAGGTCTTCCAAAGTTGAGTAGCCCTGATGTAGATCATCCCTGACAAATGTCTATCTAACCTGCTCTTAAATATCTCTGATGATAGAGATTCCACAAGCTCCCTAACCAATTTATTTCAGTGCTTACCCACCCTGACAGGTAGGAAGTTTTTCCTAATGTCTAACCTAAACCTCCTTTGCTGCAAATTAAGCCCATTGCTTCTTGTCCTAGCACAAGAGGTTGAGAACAGTTTTTTTCCTCCTCCTTGTAACACTCTTTTAGGTACAGGCAGTCCCCGGGTTACATACAAGATAGGGACTGTAGGTTTGTTCTTAAGTTGAATCTGTATGTAAGTCGGAACTGGCATCCAGATTCAGCCACTGCTGAAACTCATCAGCAGCGGCTGAATCAGGACTCCTGGGGCAGAGCAGCTGGGGTGCTGCTGGGTTGGTCCAGTAGCGCCAAGGAGCGGTGCTGCGGGACCAACCA